AGGCGCCGAGCCGATATGCTAAATTACTTTGAGTGATTTTCTAACATTAACCCAACTTTGCATTCCTAAGATAAACCAAACTTTGTCATAAATCGTCATTCTTTTCCTGTTGATAGATTTGGCTTGCTAATATTTCTTGGGGGATTTTTACATCTTTCTTCATTGAGACTGTTTTCTTGCCTGACATTTTCCAGTCTTAAAATGCCCTTATCAGAGTTTGATACCATGGTTATCCTTAACCTGGCAGGGGAGATACCATGATCACGAAGGTGGTTTTCCCAGGGCGAGGCTTATCCATTCCACTCCGGTTGTGCTAACCCCTGCGATTTCCCCAAATGTGGGAAACTCGACTGCATAATTTGTGGTAGTGGGGGACTGTGTTCACGCTTTCCCCTTTAAACAAAAACAAAAAATAAAAAACCTCTTAAAATAAGATGGGTAATCCACGTTCTTTTTCTATTCTCTGGAAGAGTTTATGATAATCACAATGATTTCTTCTTCTTTTTTTTTTTGACCGAGACTGGGTTTGAACTCACCACCTCTGGCATGTGGGACCAGTGCCCTACTCCTTTGAGCCATAGGCACCACCGATGATTTCTTCTGGTTTTTTTGTTTTGTTTTGTTTGGGGTTTTTTTTTTTTTGCAGTTTTTGGCCGTGACTGGGTTTGAACCCGCTGCCTCAGGCATATGGGGCCAGCACCTTACTCCTCTGAGCCACAGGCACCACCTGATTTCTTCTCAAATAACTACAGAAACTCATCCCTAAAGCCTTCTAATTGTCTAATGGGGGGGGAGGGAAGTTTTCAGTTGCTGGTTTCATTTCGTTAATAGTTATGAGAAATCACATTCTTTTTATTTCTTCTTGTATCAATTTTGATGTATCTTATTTTTCTAGAAAATTTTCCATTTCATTTAAATTTTTAAAAATTTTATAGAAACTTATTCATTATGTTTTCATTTTTAAAAAATATAGTGATGGTCAATTTACTTTCATGATATTAGTTATCTATGCATTATTGCTTTTTCCTTGATCAGTCTCACTATAAGTCTCACTATAATTTTATTACACTTTTTTTTTTTTTGAGACAGAGCCTCAAGCTGTCCCCCTAGGTAAAGTGCCATGGCTTCACTGCTCACAGCAACCTCCAACTCCTGGGTTTAAGCGAGTCTCCTGCCTCAGCCTCCCAAGTAGCTGGGACCACAGGCACCCGCCACAATGCCCGGCTATTTTTTGGTTGCAGCCATTATTGTTGTTTGGCGGGCCTGGGCTGGATTCGAACCCGCCACCTTAGGTGTATGTGGCTGGCGCCTTAGCTGCTTGAGCCACAGGCGCTGAGCCTTTATTACACTTTTAAAAGCACTAAATTTGAGCTTTGTTCATCCACTCTATTGTATTATTTTTAGAGAAATGATAAACACATGTTTTCATAGTTTAGAGTTAATAGAGTATGAAAGACTAAATTAGAATAAGAAAATCTATATTCAGACCTTGGCTCTATCACTTGTCAACTCAATTTGAGATTCAGTTCTTTTCATCTCTAAAATGGTATAAAATATCCATCCCAACCACTTTATGGTAAGAAAGCCTAACAAATATAAAATAGTAATATTAGCATATATCTCAGTTTTATACTTTAAATACAGTGGATATTCTGTAAGAGATTCCTGAATAATGAGAGTTAACTTATTAGGTGTTTCCTAGCTGGGCATTGTGGTGGGTATCTGTCGTCCCAGCTAGTCAGGAAGCTGAGGCAAAAGGATCACTTGAGTCCAAGAGTTTGAGGTCGCTGTAATCTGTGATACCCCGGCACTCTATTGGGGAACAAAGTGAGACTCTGTCTCAAAAAAGCGAACAAACAAACAAAAACCTTTTATTAGGCATTTCCTGTGTGTCTGGCTCTATTTCTGATGTTTTGTTTTGTCTTCTTTAATGCAGCCTCACAACCATCATGTGAAGTAAATCATTATCATCTCCATATTACAAATGAAGAAAATGACACTCAAAGAGGTTGAACACTATTAACTTAAATTCGCTTGATATGATCTGATTAGTTAATACACAGCCATCAAAGGTGGAAGATATTATACTTATAATCTTCATTATCTTAGTTGAAAAACTTTAGGACCAAAGGAATTCTGTTTCTCATGAGGATAAAGCAAATCTCTCACTATTTTTGTCCACGAGCTTTTCCTGCCTAGTACATACACTGACAAGGTTCTGATATTCCTTAAAATATCATTCATTTACTTGCTCAGTAAATATTAATCACCTACTCTCTGGCACTTTGATAAGCCTTGGGTATTGAGAAGTGAATAAAAAAACTGTTCTCTGTTTTTTGGAATTTAAAGTGGTGAAGAAGGGCAGTGCCTGTGGCCCCATATACTGGGGGTGGCCCTAGCCAAAACTGCAAAATAAATAAATAAAGTGGTGAACAATAAGGATAAGTAGATAAATACATGATTAATTATGACTTGTGCTAAGTTTTTTGTTTGTTTGTTTGTTTGTTTTAGACAGAGTCTCACTATGTCACTCTCGGTAGAGTGCTGTGGTATCAAAGCTTATAGCAACTTCAAACTCCTGGACTTAAGTGATTCTCTTGCCTCAACCTCCAGTGTAGCTGGGACTACAGGCACCCACCACAATGCCCAGCTATTTTGTTGTTGTTGTCATTGTTGCTTAGCAGGCCCAGGCCAGGTTCAAACCTATCAGCCCTGGTGAATGTGGCTGGGGCCCTAACTTCTGAGCCAGACTTGTGCTAAGTTTAATGAAGGAAATCTATGTGGTACAATAATATGATGAGTCAGGATACTTCTCCAGATTAAATAATCATGAAAATTTTTCTCCTGCAAAATGACATTTAAGCTAAGACTTGAAGAATAGACAGGCAACCATATAATGGACAGGAAAAGAGAAAGCATTATTGGCAGAGGGAAGTGTGGAAAGTTTGGTGTGTTGGAAACTCTAAATAAAAGCCAGTGTGGCAGGAGTTTAGTGGGAGGATAGGGAAATAGAAAGATGGTTTAAAGAGGTAGGCAAAGGCCAGATCATACATGGACAAGGCAAGCTTCTGGGATTTGTTCCTACAGCTATAGGAAACCACAGAAAAATTTTAAGCAGGGGAGCCAAGTGGTTCAATTTGTGATTTTTAATCCATACTATTCTCTATGACTGCAGCATAGAGAATAGATTGGAAGGGAGCAAAAGTGGAAATAGCAGGACCCATGCAGGAGTTCTTCCTCCAGCCCAGGCTAGAGACGGTCACCTAGATCAGGGTGCTGGCAAAAATGACAAAAATGGGTTGATGCAAGATACGTTGTAGAGTTAGAGTGACATGAGTGTTCGATGACTGGTATTGACCCATGATGAAAAAGACTCCAGGATGACTTTCACATTACTGGCCTGCACCAGAGGATGGCTGGTGACATCATTTACTGCAATCAGGAAGATAGAGAAAAAGGATTTAGGAGATATGGGCAGAATCAAAGAATTTCCTTATGGATCATTTACATAAAATGGCATTTCAAACCATAGGAATGAACCTAAAGGGAGAATTATCATCTCTCTAGGCCTAGCGGAATCTAATAATATTTAGAGGTTGGATAGACCAAGAAGGAACAGCAGAGAAGTAGTGGAAAACCACAGGGTTTGATATCACAGACTCTAAGAGAGGAGAACTTTTTAAGATGGAAGAGTCATCTGAGAGAGGTCAGTTGTCCTTTGGGTTTATTTTGGCAATGAAGAGGTCATTTGGTGCCCTTGGCAAAATCAGCTTCAGTTTTACTGGAATAGAGGAGATGAAAGCCAGCTTGGAGTAGACTGAAGAGAGGATGGAAAATGTTTAACCCACACATATATAGAAACTCTTGGAAAAATTCTTTATCCAGCTATCATCTGTCTAAATAAATTTTGCTGGGTGGCACCTGTGGCTCAAAGGAGTAGGGCTCTGGCCCCATATACCAGAGGTGGCTGGTTCAAACCTGGTCCCGGCCAAAAACTGCAAAAAAATTTTAAAAAATAAAAAATTTTGCCAACCTTACTAACACAGGCAATTCCAGAGAGGTAATCGGCCATGTGACACTGGTATTTGTCAGGTTTGGGGGAGTGCCCTTGTTTAAAAGCTACTTATTCTGGCTCACATTCGTTCCTTGCTTATTTTATGATTCTTACTTATTCTCTACCTCTAGGTAAAAATTGAACTAAAGCAGGCCCAGCAAAAGTTATTAGACAGTGCAAAGATGTGCTCTTCACTCACGGCAGAGTGGAAGCACAGTCAGCAGAAAATCAAGGAACTGGAACTGGAAGTGCTTAAACAGACTCAGAGCATTAAATCACAGAACAACCTGCAGGAACAGCTGGCTCAGGAGAAATCTAAAGTTGCTGATGCAGAGAAAAAGGTAATTATCCTCATGCTTAATAAATAGCATGCACTGAATCCCACTATTGGAATAATCCCTGAGGATTTTAAGAAATAGATATGATACAAACTTGATAGAATTCCAGGTTTTTTTAATTATTCTCCATATTTTCTTCTCTTTTGGTTGTATCTCCTCCCACAATTCCAGTAAATCTTATATTTTATAAAACTGTACAAACTTAAAAAGGTAAATTTCATTAAAGCTATAAGATGATGTGAAAACCCCACACTGTACCCCAGAAGTGCATTAATGTACATAGTTACCGTTCAATAAAAAAAAAAAAAAAAAAAAAAAAAAAAAAAAAGCTATAAGATGAAGTTAAAGAACTGAACACATCCATATGACTTTTGTTTTATATTTTCAAATTTTGAAGCACTTATTCTTTTCTCATTTGGATTTGCTTATTTAATTTCTCTTTTTAAATTTCAAATTAATAGGAGAGTACAAATTTTTAGTTTACAATGATCTCGCTTCCAAGGTAAAGTTCAAGATGTGGTAGAGCCCTTCACCCAGGTAGCATGTTGAACACCCTCACATTGTACATGTTAGGTGAAACTCCCACCAATCATCCTGTCCCCCTCCCCGTGTCCCTCTTCCACCTTTCCCCTCTCCCTTGACAAACGTTTTATCATTTGTGTGGGCATGTAATTTCTATTTTGTAATTTTGTAGAGGCATTTGTATTGTGAAATGAACCATTTTGAAATATTGCCCCTGCATTTTAGATTGCCTAGCACCAGGTGGCAGTAGTATGTAACGGTTACACATTTTGATGTGCACGTTTATGAGTCAAATCTTTTCTTTTTTCTTTTTTTTTAGAATTTTTCTTATTTTTTTATTATTTTGTAGAGACAGAGTCTCACTTTATCACCCTCCGTAGAGTGCCATGGCATCACACAGCTCACAGCAACCTCCAACTCCTGGGCTTAGGGAATTCTCTTGCCTCAGCCTCCTGAGTAGCTGAGGCTACAGGTGCCCACCACAATACTCAGCTATTTTTTTGTTGTAATTTGCCTGGGGCTAGGTCCAAACCCACCCTTGGTACATGGGGCCGGTGCCCTACCCACTGAGCCACAGGCACCACCAGAGTCAAATCTTATATAAAAAATAAATCATTTTGGCTTGGTGCCCATAGCACAGTGGTTATGGCACCAGCCACATACACTGAGGCTGATGGGTTAGAACCCAGCCTGGCCAAGCTAGGCAATAATGACAACTGGAACAGAAAAATAGCCGAGTATGTGGCAGGCACCGGTAGTCCCAGCTACTTGGGAGGCTGCAGCAAAAAGAATCACTTAAAGCCCAAGAGTTAAAGTTGCTGCAAGCTGTGATGCCATGGCACTCTACCGAGGGTGACATAGTGAGACTCTGTCTCAAAAAAAAAAAAAAAACTGAAGTAAGAATTCTCCCCAGACAGAACTAAATGGATCAGTTCCAAGGAACCTGAGCTGACCACAGATAGCTGGCAGCCTACTGCAATTGCCCTTGAGTCAATCTGCATCTTCCCCTCTCTTATGCTGTGTGGGCTGTTCAGGAATCTAGGTGCCAAGGCTTGGAATTGATGCCCTTAGGAAGTGGCTGCCATCCACTAATATTCACTAAATGTTTGTGGGGAAGTAGTGCCAAAACACTGTGAATGATTACTTGTTAGGTCAGGAATACATTAGAGGGATAACAGCTACCCTTCTAAAATCTATTCATGCAACAAATACTTATTGAGCACCAACTATGTACCAGGTACAATTTTAGGTGGCACAAATATTTATAAAACATAAGTAAACCACTTTAAAAAGAAATTTATCTAACAAAAAATGTTTTTAAGTGACACTTTAATTCTAACATGTAAAATCTAAAATATACCTATATTTCTTTCAAATTCATAAATCATACTTTTAGTTCTTTCAGAGCATTAAAGAACCTATTGGTTCTCGACAATATACTAATAATAGGTACTTGGTTTATAAAAGACTTTTATTTTGAGGTATCATCCATGAATATAGCCACTCTGTGGGGAAAACCAAGGCTTTTTCACAGTGCTGTTGGAAGTGTAAATTGTTCTTAATACCTATGAAGACAGTGTGGCATTGTCTTCTAAACAACCAATATTTACCCTAGAAAATCTGTATTTCATAATATAGAGACATTGCTTGTAAGAGTATTATTTATAATTACAAAAGACTGGAATCAACCTAAATGTTCATCAGCAGGGGCTGGTTAAGTAAGTTATGATACATCTTCACAATGGAGTAATATGCAACTATAAAAGAGAAGATAACTCATAAGCACATATAATATGGAAAAACCACCATGTATATTGTCTTTTTTTTTTTGCAATTTTTGGCTGGGGCTGGATTTGAACCTGCCACCTCTGGCATATGGGGCCGGTGCCCTACTCCTTTGAGCCACAGGCACTGCCCAATATATTGTCATTTTTTTAAAAAGGAAGGCACATAATTACATGTGTAATAGAATAGTGTGCCATTATTTGTGTAAAATGTGTATATATGGAGAACTCTATAATTTTTTTTATATATGCATATCCAAATTTCTCTGGGGTACACAAGAAACTAATAACAAATAAGTGCTTACTTTTCTGGGTGGAGGAAAATGGAGCGAATGAGATAGAGAGAAGATTACTCACTATAAAGCTTCTTTTATATACATATATTTAATTATATGAATGTATTACATATTACAACAATTAAATAATTTATTTTAAAATTAAAATAGATCTAACTGCACTCTTTGCTTTAGATCAGACTAGTACATTAGCGCTGCTATGTTTGATAATTTATGGTATTTTCATATTTTGAAGGAAGGTCATATGCTTCTTAATGTTTTACTTGTAAAACATTTTGTTTACTTTGTCATTCAAGATTTTGGATCTGCAGCAGAAATTAGAAAATGTTCATAAAGTCTGTCTCACAGACAGTTGTATTTTGGGGAAGAATCAGCTAGAGGAAAAGATAAAAGAAGCAATAGAAAATGAAGCTAAAATAAAGAAACAGTATCAGGAAGAACAACAGAAGAGGTAAGAGGAGCAAAGATCTCAGGTTCCTGAGAATTTATCTATGACTGAGTTCATCAGCAGTGCCAATTTACTCTAGCTGTGTATCAGAGAGTATTTCTGCTCTTTTCCCACTGACAACTCTATCATGCAACTTTTTATATACACTCAGTCCCCCCGGGTTATGAACGAGATAGATTTTGTAGGTTTGTTTTTAAATTGAATTTGTATGTAAGTTGGAAAAGATGCATTTACCTATTACCTGTAATAGCCTCTGTTCATAAGTGTGAGTTATAGATCAGTTTATAACTCAGGGACTGCCTACATGGCATTTAACACACTGTATTCTAATTATTTTCTTGTTTGACTCTGGCACAGGGTATGGAATTCTTTTTTATTTATCTATTTATTTATTTATTCATTTTTTGACACAGAGTCTGTCTCTGTCACCCTGGGTAGAGTGCCATGGCATCATAGTTCAAAACAACCTCAAACTCTTGGGCTCAAGCAATCCTCCTGCCTCAGCCTCCCAAGTAGCTAGAACTACAGGTGCCTGCCTCAACTCCTGGGTAGTTTTTCTATTTTTAGTAGAGACAGGTTTCTCAGGCTGTCCTCAGCTATTGAACTCCTCAGCACAAGCAATCCACCCACCTTGGCCTCCCAGTGCTAAGATTACAGGCATGAACCACCTTGCCTGGCCCAGAGTATGAAATCTGTAAAGTCAGAGATTATTTCTTGTTCTGGGACACACCTGGCATACTGATAAATTTTCTTGAGTGACTAGATTGCCTGTGAAATATGATATTCTAGGATTTGCTTTTCTATTTTCTTTTTTTTGAGACAGAGTCTCACTATGTTGCCATTGGTAGAGTGCTGTGGCATCACAGCTCATAGTAACCTCAAACTGTTGGGCTTAAGTGATTCTCTTGCCTCAGCCTCCCAAGTAGCTAAGACTACAGGCGCCTGCCACAATACCCAGCTATTTTGTTGTTGTTGTTGTAGTTGTCATTGTTTGGAAGGCCTGGGCTGGGTTTAAACCTACCAGCTCCAGTATATGTGGCTGGCGTCCTAGCTGCTGAGCTACAAACACCGAGCCATACTTTTTTTTTTTGAGACAAAATCTTACTATATCACCCTTGGTAGAGCGCCATAGTGTCACAGATCACAGCAACCTCTAACTCTTAGGCTTAAGCAGTTCTCTTGCTTCAGCCTCCCAAGTAGCTGGGACTGTAGGCACCTGCCACAACGCCTGGCTATTATTTTGTTGCAGTTGTCATTGTTGTTTAGCTGGCCCAGGCCAAGTTTGAACCTGCCAACCTGGGTGTACGTGGCCGGTGCCCTACCCACGGAGTTATAGGTGCCGCCAGATTTGCTTTTCTAATTCTCTGACATGATTGTTACAAAATTTAGACCACAGGTTCCGTGCCTGTAGCTCAGAGTCTAGGGTGCCAGCCACATATACCAAGGTTAGCAGGTTCAAGCCCAGCCCGGGCCTGTTAAATAACAATGACAACTGCAACAAAAAAAATAGCCAGGCATTGTGGCAGGCACCTGTAGTCCTAGCTACTTGGGAGGCTGAGGCAACAGAATCACTTAAACCGAAGAGATGGAGGTTGCTGTGAGCTATGATGCCACAGCACTCTACCAAGGATGACATAGTAAGACTATCTCAAAAAAAAAAAAATTCAGACCACAATGAAGTTGTTAGTTTATATTTATCTGCTGATGTTCTTTAACATAGTTTTAAGTACTTTACAGCATCTTTGTTACCAACAAACTGCTTTCAGATAGGAACTGTCATATATGTTTTTTCAAAATGATAATGGTTATTTTCTTTCATTTTGGACTAATATAAGGATACATACAATTAGGTTACATTGTTTGACTTATAAGGTAAAGTCTGAATTATTGTTGAGTCCTTCACCCAGGAGATGTGCCATATAACCCTAGGTGGGAACTTGCTGAGCCCCCTCCCCTCTTCTCTCTTACTCCCTTCTTGAATTTAATTGTTTGTCTCTTATGTGGGCCTATAGTTGTTTATGTACAAGTTTCAAATTAATATTGAGTACATGGGATGCTTGCTCTTCCATTTTTGAGATACTTTATTAAGGAGATTGTTCTTCAACTCCATCCAGGTAAATACAAAAGATGTAAAGTCTCCATCTGTTTTTATGGCTGAATGGTATTCCATTATAGACATACCACCACTTTTCCTCACACTCCATACAAATGGTATCACAATACAAAAAACTCATCAAAGGCTAAGCACAGTGGCTCACGCCTGTAATCCTAGCACTCTGGAAGGCCAAAGTAGGTGGATTGCCTGAGCTCACAGGTTCAAGACCATCTGAGCCAGAGCTGTCTCTAAAAATAGCTAGGCATTGTGGCAGGTGCCTATAGTCCCAACTACTCAGGAGGCTGAGACAAAAGAATCATTTGAACCTAAGAATTTGAGGTTGCTATGAGCTGTGATCCCGTGGCACTCTACTGAGGGTGACAAAGTGAGACTGTCTCACAAACAAACCTCACCAAATAAGTGGTGCAAAAAAATTACAAATAATCAAACCCAAACAATATAAGGAATTCACAACACAATCTAAAATTCCACAGCTTAACACCATTCTCCTTCCAAAGTTTTTTCCTAAGGGACTTTGAGACAGAGCTTTCTTACATTGCAACAAACCCTCAAATAACAGACAAGACAGGGGACAGATGCCACCAAGACTAGCACCTCATATGGTGCCCCAAATTCCCTACAGGGCTGGAAGGTAAACCCTCCCCAAATGGTGGCAACAAACTCACAAAACTAACCAGGCATTCTGATGGGCACCTGTAGTCCCAACTACTTGGGAGGATGAGGCAAGAGGATTGCTCGAGCCCAAGAGTTTGAGGTTGCTATGAGCTATGTTGCCATGGCACTCTACTGAGGGTAACAGACTGAGATTGCCTCCAAAAAAAAAGTTCACAAATAACAAATAGACAATACAAGGGATCCTCAACATGCAAAAGCCAGGGGCAGCACCTATGGCTCAGTGGGTAGGGCGCCAGCCCCATATACCGAGGATGGCAGGTTAGAACCTGGCCCCAGCCAAACTGCAACAAAAAAATAGCTGGGTGTTGTGGCAGGCACCTGTAGTCCCAGCTACTCAGGAGGCTGAGGCAAGAGAATCGCCTAAGCCCAAGAGCTGGAGGTTGCTGTGAGCTGTGATGCCATTCTACCGAGGGTGACAAAATGAGACTCTATCTCTAAAAAAAAAAAAAATAATACATGCAAAAGCCAGAGTCTGTCAGACAAATAGAATCCAAAGAGGACAAACGCTACGCTACACTAAATGCTGTCACAGATGGTGCCCCAAGTATCCCACAGGGCTATAAAGTAAACTCTTCCTGAACTATGGCCTAGTCACACATGCCATCCCAAATGCCACCTCAAATGGTACATCAAATACCTTAAGGGCCAGAAGGTTCACACAAAACCTTCCCAAATGGTGACCTACAACCCCCTCTTTCCCTGGGAACCACAAATGAGCTCCAAATTCCAACCGGATTTCCTCGTTCCACTCAACCTCACGTTCCACCCCTAAAGGCATCTTAAAACAAACAAAACCAATAGGAAGGTCTGAAACCCTTCCATATGTGTGGAATCAGGTTCTCCACATGCACTCATTATCCTAATGCCAAAACCACCTATCTTTTTTTGGGCAAACTAATGTGTGTTTTCCATGTACTGACTTATGACCACACCTATAATTCCTGTCTCCCTAAAATGTATAAACCATCACTGAGAGTCTACTTGCTGAAGGCTTCTTGGGTGTAGCCTCAAATTTGGCTCAGAATAAACCCTTTAAATTATTTTGTAGAGGCTCGGCGCCAGTAGCTCAGCAGCTAGGGCGCTATCCACATACACCAGAGATGGCAGGTTGGAATCCAGCCCAGGTCTGCCAAACAACAATGGCAACTACAACCAAAAAATAGCCAGGCTGTGGCAGGTGCCTATAGTCCCAGCTACTTGGAAGGGTGAGGCAAGAGAATCTCTTAAGCCCAAGAGTTTGAGGTTGCTGTGAACTGTGATGCCATGGCACTCTACCCAGGGCAACATAGTGAGACTCTGTCTAGAAAAAAAAAAGCCTTTCTCAAAGAAAGCTATTTAAGCTGAGAGTGAAGTAGTAGCTAGCTGTGGGGGCACCAGGTAAAGAATATTAGTCAAAGGAAGACCTAGGAAAACACACCTGGGCTTGGGCTAGGAGAGGAAGATTGTGGAGGACTATTTGTTTGAGGACGTGAAAAAAGTTCACTAGCAGGAACAAAATAGTTTGGGGTTAGAGGAAATGGCAAGAAAATTAAGCTAAAAAGGTAATCTAGGCTTAGTTCATGAACGGAGTGGCTTGAACCACTCCGAACAATTGGGACTTTACCTTAAGAGTAAGGGGGAGCCACTGAAAACAAAGTAGTATGATTGTGTTGTGAGTTTGCAAGAGCAGGCTTTAGAAAATATATAGAGAGTCTTATCAATACTCTGATTTCCAATTAATTTTAACATACTCATGAGTTGCTCTTTCCATTTTGACTTCCTACTTTTCCATTTCGGTTTTCAACTCTCAATATTTACTCTAGATAAATAAAGGTTTTTTAGTTCCAGCAGATGAAAGCTTCCCTTTCAGTTCAAAGGCTCAGTCTAGTCTCTTGATCAGAAATTGAGAACCAAAAAGAAGTAGGCAATAAAAGCAGGGAATTGCTCAGATATACAGTGAATTAGGTGAAAGATGCTCAGATATACAGTGAATTAGGTGAAAGAGGGGGTTTTAGTATAGAGGTGGACATGAATGATAGAAAATAAACCTTAGCAGTCCTTGGACAGCCTATACTTATGTCCAAGAAATTGATAGGGAAGAACTACAAGTGGAAATATATGAGTTCATGTCTCAAATATAAATCTTCCCCCCCAAACCCATTGTTTTCTCAGAATCCTGAAGTTAGAAAAAAACTTATTTGTCCAATATTAGTATTTTTATTGCCCTAGCATATAGGTAAGAATTTTGCCTACCAGTACTATTTCACCATTATTATCATGTTCTTCAAGATGAATCTCCTAAGTCCAGACAATCTTGTCTGAAATCCTTGGAAAACTCTCTCCACAAACTGATGTCTGAGGAGACTATGAAGTGCTAATGGCCCTTCTAAGGGGCAGTGGGAAAACTTTCCCTTCCCACTTTGAAGCTTCACTAAAAAATTAACTGACAAGGCTCCACGCTTGTAGCGCAAGTGGTTATGGTGCCAGCCATATACACTGAAGCTGGCAGGTTCAAACCCAGCCAGGGCCTGCTAAAACAACAATGACAACTGCAACAAAAAATAGCCTGGCATTGTGGTGCGTGCCTATAGTCCCAGCTACTTGGGAGGCTGAGGCAAGAGAATCTCTTAAGCCCAAGAGTTGGAGGTTGCTGTGAGCTATAATGCTACGGCACACTGGTGTGAGAGTGACATACTAAGACTCTGTCTCAAAAAAATAAATAAATTAACTGACAAAAGGCAGACTAATAAGAGAAAAAGCAAACAAAATTTTATTAATATGCACTGGGGAAAATCATAGCATGATTACCCAATACCTGAGTTGTTGCACAAGCTTATCTATCTAACTACCCTTTTCCATAGGGGACGAGGAAGATGGGGAATGGAAACAATTCTTTGGTGGGTCAGCAAATCCTTAGGAAGAATGAATAAAAAAATTAATTTATAAATGATTCTCTTTGGAATTTGAAAAAGTCCAAAAGAACCACCATTGTCTTGTGAAAAGGTCCCTCCAAGTATGGTTACATTCCCCATTCTTCTTTTCTGAATATAAATAAATAACAAGATTTCTGGGAGGGGAGATGGGAAGAAATTGTTCTCTTTGGTAAGTCTAGTCTTTATGATGATAAAAGGAAAAGCCTCTGCTAACATGAGCTGATCTTTAGAACCTTTAATTCAAAATAGGATATAAGGGACCAGGCTCAGTGGCTCACACCTGTAATCCGAGCACTCTGGGAGGCCAAGGCAGGCGGATTGCCTGAGCTCAGGAGTTCAAGACCAGCCTGAGCAAGAGCGAGACCCCCATCTCTAAAAATAGCTGGGCAGTTGTGGTGGGTGCCTGTAGTCCCAGCTACTTGGGAGGCTGAGGCAAGAGGATTATTTGAGCCTAAAAGTTTGATGTTGAGAGCGATATCAATGCTCAGTGGCACTCAACTGAGGGCAACAAAGTGAAACTCTGTCTCAAAAACAACAACAAAACAAAAAAATAGTATACGAGGGTACCATATTTGGGGGTGAAATTTCCTGAGTTCCTTCACCCTCTTTTAAAAATGGTGAGTTTTTGGCTCAGCACCTGTGGCTCAAGCAGCTAAGGCACCAGTGACATACACCTGAGCCGGCGGGTTTGAATCCAGCCCTGGCCCGCCAAACAATGATGGCTGCAACCAAAAAATAGCCGGGCACTGTGGTGGGCGCCTGTAGCCCCAGCTACTTGGGAGGCGGAGGCAGGAGACTCGTTTGAACCAGGAGTTGGAGGCTGCTGTGAGCTGTGATGCCACAGCACTCTACCCAGGGTGACAGCTTGAGGCTCTGTCTCAAAAAAAAAAAAAAATGGTGAGTTTTCTCAAGAAGTGCAAGCTCATTCATAATTCAGCTATAGCAACATTAATGTGTGTGCATTAGTATCAGTTCTTGTAATTAACTACCTTATATTGAACCCAGAAGATCAAGGGCTCAACTAATAAAGCATCGAGGAAGAAAAGATAAGGGATTCAAGATTACAGCCCTACCTCTCTACCTTATCCTACTATTCTCTGTTCTGGAGCTTCTTCATTCCTGAAATAAAGACGATTATTTCTTCCTCATAGCCTTATTTGATGAGTGAGAGAAAACACTTCAAAAGCGACTATTAGAAAGGAAGTTCCTTGTATTGGTCTCTTTAAGTTGTGGCCACATTCCTCACTTCATTGAACAGCAACAACAAAAAAATCTTGTGATGGCATACAAATTTTAGGTCTGACTTTAATTTGCAAAGTTTTACAATTCCCAGTATGATTTAATGTACATTAATTGCCTTCAGGGAACTCCTGGATCAAAATGTAAATGAGTTGCACAGACAAGTGAGAACGTTACAAGATAAAGAAAATCTTCTGGAAATGACCTGTTCTCAGCAAAAATCCAGGATTCAGCAACAAGAGGCCCTGCTTACACAACTGGAAAATGAAAAAAGAAAATGTGAGGAGGTAAGAAATTAAATAGGTATGCTTCTCAGCTTTCCTTTTCTCTTAAACCTGAGTATATGGAATCATCATTATTAATCATTGAGTACTTAGCACTTCTAAAATTTAGTAAGGATTCAGTCAGGAGAGCAGAATCTTCTATAGGTATTTCAAGCGATAAGAGATTTAACATAGGGAATTAAATGCTTACAAAATAGTTAGGAGGGACTGGGATAGAGTAGAAAGTCAGAACTTATGCTGGTTTTCAATAAATCTGTAAGTTCAGAAATCACAGAGAAATCCCGGCACAGTGGCTCATGCCTGTAATCCTAGTGCTCTGGGGGGCCAAGGCAGGTAGATTGCTTGACTTCAGGAGTTCCAGACCAGCCCCCGCAAGCTGGGAAAAACCTTAAAGCTGAGTTGCCAGCCATGAGAAAGGAGGTCAGACAAACTTAGTCATACCCTCTCCCCTTATGGAGTTACTCTTTGTAACAAAAAGATGCTAAATCATTAACAGGACCTAACGCCACACAAGACAAAGGTTAAACCACACCTGCAGATCATCAATTTACTTAACCAATCACTTGAGTCTTGGTACATATGGCCCATGACTTGTCTCTGATTAACAAACTTCATTGTCTTAACTTAAAACATTCTAAAACAAGCTTTATTTCTTTTGCCAATTACAAATCAAAGAAACTTTAAACCCAGCTGTAACCTGTAAGCTCCTGCTTTGAGATATATTGCCCTTCTGGGCAAACCAATATATGCCTTCCATGTTCGTTTGTTTGGTTTTTTTCCTTTGAGACAGAGTCTCAAACTGTCACCCTGAGTAGAGTGCTGTGGCATCACAGCAACCTCAGACTCTTGGGCTCTAGTGATTCTCTTGCCTTAGCTTCCCAAGTAGCTGGGAGTATAGGCACCTGCCACAACGCCCACCTATTTTTTGGTTGCACTTGTCATTGTTGCTTAGCAGACCCAGACTGGGCTCAAACCCGCCATGCTAAGGTGTATGTGGCCAGGGCCCTTGCTGACTGAGCCACAGGCGCTGCTATTTTTTTTTTTTTTTTTTCTTGAGACAAAGTCTCACTATGTCACCCTCCATAGAGTGCTCTGGTATCATAGCTCACAGCAACCTCAAACTCTTGGGCTTAAGCAACTCTCTTGCCTCAGCCTCCCAAGTAGCTGGGACTATAGGTGTCCACCACAATGCCTGGCTATTTTTTGTTGCCATTGTCACTGTTTAGCTGGCCCAGGCTGGTTCGAACCCGCCTGCCTCTGTATATGTGGCTAGTACCCTAACCACTGAGCTATGGGTGTCTAGCCTCACTGAATTATTTTCAATTCTTTTCCATTAACAATACAAAGATTGAAGTAGATTTTGACATTATGTACATGGAGATAGTAGCAGATGCCACAAATAAGGACTCAGTCAGACAAGACTGCCCCCATTCCAGATGCCAATTTCAAGTCCAGGTTTTTTTGCCAGTGTTTCTGACCATCTCTAAAGCAGAGGTTCCCTCACCTCCCTCTTTGGGTTTGATCATTTGCTAGAATGGCTCATAAAACTCAGGAAACAGTTTGTTTTCTAGATAACTGGTTTATTATAAAAGGATACAGCTCAGGAATAGCCAGATGGAAGAGATGTGCAGGGCCAGGTATGTACAGAGGGACAGGGAGCTTCTGTGCCCTCTCTGAACACACCACCCTCCCAGCACCTCCACATATTCTTCAAACTGTCCTTCCTTTTGAAGTTTTATGCAGGCTTAATTATGTGAGCATGATTGTGATGAAGTGTTATCTCAACCTCTAACCTCTCTCTCCTCTCAGGAATTCAACCCTCTTATAAGTAAGAACAAATTGAGAGGCATCACTATTACCAGACTTCAAGCTATTCTATGAGGCTAGAGTCACCCAAGTAGCATTGTACTGTTACTGTACTGATAGAGGGTCCAGCTGCCTGTCACTGACAACCAAATGCAGAGAGGGGTTTAGGTCCAACAAACTTTATCATCAGAAGCCCAGCAATTCTGGAGAATAGTGGAGAGTAGCCTCTCCAGAACTGTTCTGCCTTTCCTTTCCAAAACCATAGTTTAATATATAAAAGTTCAAAGCGAAAAGGTGGGGTGGCTTATGCCTACAATCCTAGCATTCTGGCAGCCGAGGCAAGTGGATCACCTGAGCTCAGGAGTTTGAGACCAGCCTGAGACCAGCAAGACCCTGTCTCAAAAATAGCTGGGAGTTTTGGCCGACGCCTGTAAATCCCAGCTACTTGGGAGGCTGAGGCAAGAAGATCACTTGAGCCTAAGAATTTGAAGTTGCCGTGAGCTATGACACCACACACTCAACTGAGGGCAACAAAGTGAGACTCTGTCTCAAAAAAAGTTCAAAGCAAAACCCATTAACCCTTATCTTAAAAATAATAATCAGGCCCGGACCCACCAAAACAACAATGACGGCTGCAACCAAAAAATAGCCGGGCGTTGTGGCGGGCGCCTGTGGTCCCAGCTACTTGGGAGGCGGAGAC